AACGTTCATCACAGATGGTAAAGCGACAAAAACGTCGTTATTCTCTTAAAAAGACAATTGACAACACTCTTGAAATAAATGTTAAAAAGAAACACTTGCCCAAAAAATGAATAAAGAACCCAGTAAAAATGTTAGAACCTAAAAGTGTAAGAGTTGAAATAAAAACTCAGTGGTTGAAGGGCCAGCAAGTGGTGTGGTGGTTAAGAATTCTGGACTCCCACATGGCCAGTCGCAATTTGAGTCCTAGACATGGCAACTTGCTTTCTTGCTTTCCCTCTCTTGCTCTCACTCTGTCCCTCTCTGGTCAAATTAAAATAAGTAAATAAAGTTAAATAAAATAATTCTTTAAAAAAAAAAAACTCATGGTTGAACTTAGAGCACAAAGGAGATGACAAAGGAAAGAGTTGGTGAACTTAAGGATAAATCTATAGAAATTATCCAATCTCAGGCTCTGGCAAGTGGCATGGTGGTTAAGGGTGTTGGACTCCCATATGGCTGACTGTGGTTCGAGTCCCAGACCTGGTAGCTTGTTTTCTCACTTTTTCTCTCTGTCTCTCTCTCTTTCACTCCATCCCTCTCTGATCAAATTTAAATAAATAAAGTGAAATAAAATATATTTTTTAGAAAAGAGATGATCCAATCTGAACAAAAGAAAAAAGAAGAAAAAATTAACAGACCCTTAGGGATCTGTTGTGTAATAGTTGAAGACTTGAATCCCTTGCTATATCTAAAAATCCCCTTGAAATTAACTACTTAAATCTTGATTCTTGGTACCAGCAGAGGGCGTAATAGCTACATCGCTGGTCTCCCATGTAGTTGACTGCAGTTCAAGTCCTGGACCTGGTAGCTTAAAATTCACGCTGAATATGTGTGTGTGTGTGTGTGCATGCCCAAAATCCTGACAGGAGAACGGAGGAGAAGGCACTGTGTTGTGGTCCTCCCCCCTGGGGGTGATTTCTTGCTTAAGGCACTGTGTTGTGGGGTGATTTCTTGCTATCTCTGTCTCACTGGTAAGCGCACACACCCTAAGGCAAAAATACTCTCTAAATAAAAAAAGAAAGAAAGAAAAGAAAACCTTGATTATTCCCTTACATTCTTCTCTGGGAAGAGAGGTGATAGCTTGTTTTGCCCGCTCCTAGTAAGCCCTGCCTACATAGCTCCTTTCTATTTTAAATGTACAAGTATCTACAATAATCACTCTCAGCTTTGGGAATTTAGCCAAATTTATATAAAACAGAAAAAGTCATTGCCCCTCCTACTGCATGTGGTCATGTCACTTTTCTCAGTTCCTTAATTGGGCTTGCCAAGATTTTATTTATCATATTAATCTTTCTGAATATGTGTTATTGTTAAAAGGATAAAAAGACAAGCTATAGACTTGGAGAAAACAGTTGCAAACCACATATCCAACAAAGAATCAGTATCTGGAATATATATAGAATTCTCAAAACTCAATAGTTTAAACAAATCCACATTAAGGGGTTGGTAGGTGGCATGGTGGTTCATGGAGCTGGACTCCCACATGGCTGACTGCAACTCAAGTCCCAGATCTGGCAGCTTCCTGTCTCTCTCTCTCTCTCTCTCTCTTTTTCTCTCTCTCTCTTGCTGTCCTTCTCTGGTCAAATTAAAGTTAAAATTTAAAAATAATTCTTTAAAAAAAATCCCCATTAAAAAATGGGCAAAAGGCAGGGGCCAACCGGTGATGGATATGCTGGTGAAGGTGCTGACTCCTCATGACCAACTCCACAGCTCATCTCAGACCTGGTGGCTTGAAAAACACGCTGTGTGTGTGCCCAAAATCCCGAGAGGAGAATGGAGAAGGGATCGCGGTGTGGCCACCCGCGCCCCCCATCTCAGGCACATGCATGTGCCTATAGCAAAAAAAAAAAAAAAATGGCAAAGGGCATAAAGAGATATTTTACTAAAGAGGATATGCAGATAGAAAATAAGCACATAAAAAGATTCACGTTGTTAGCCATGAGAGAAATGCAAATTAAAACGGCAGTAAAATCTCACCATATACCTATCAGAACAGCTGAAATTAATATATATATAATCTATACAATAAATTTTGTATTAGGGGAGGAAGGGAACAAACTGGATCATTTATACATTACTGGTGGAAATACAAACTGATAGAACTATTCTGAATGATAGAATGGCAGTTCCTTCTAAAACTAAACATGCCCCTACTCTATGACCCAGTCATTGCACTCTTGGGCATTTTTCCCAGAGAAATGAAAATATATGTTCGCCTCAAAATTTGTACATGAATGTTCATGGCAGCTTTATTTGTAAAGCAAAAACTAGAAACAACCCAGATGTCTTTCAAGGGTAAAGGATTAAACAAGCTATGGGCCAGCTGGCAGTGTGGTGGTTAAGGCGGCTGGATCTCACGGGGCTAACTGCATGGCTCAAGTCTCAGACCTGGTAGCTTGGGAAACACACCAGGTACATGCATGTGTGCATGCCCAAAATCCCAAGAGGGAGAAATGGAGGAGAAGGGAGTATTTCCTCACTTTCCCTCTCTGGCTCTCTCTCTGGAAAGAACTCACACCTTCTAGTGAAATTTTAAAAAAAATCAAGCTGTGGTACATCCATGCATGGACTACTACTCTGCAATAAAAAAGGAATGAACTGCTGACACCCGCAACAATTTGGATGAATCTCCAGTAAATTATCTTCAGTGAAAAAATCCCATCCCAAATCCACTTACAGAACATTCTTACATTACAAAATTATAAAAACAGAGGCCAGTTTAGTGGCTTTTAGACGTTAGGAACTGGATGGAGACGGGGTGGGTGGAGGTGGGGGTGGCTATAAAAGGGCAGCAGGGGGGACCTTGCGCAGATGGAAATGTATTTTGCTTTAGCTACGGCAATACACTGGTTGTGATATTGGGTGGTAGTTTTACAAGTTATTACCTCTGGGAGAAATAGGGTCAAGATCACACAGGAGCCCTTTAGATTATTGCTGTAGGGTGTGAGTGTGCTCACCAGGGAAACAGTGAAAGGGAAAGTGAGAAATCACACACACACACACCCCGGGGGATGGCCACACACCAGTCCTTTCTCCTTCATTCTCCTCCTAGGATTTCGGGCATGCACGCACATGCACCTGGCATGATTTTCAAGCCTCTAGGTCCAGGACTCAAATCGTGGTCTTCCACGTGGGAGTCCAATACCTTAACTGTCCCACCACCTGCCAGTTCACTCTGTTTTATTTCTCACAACTGTATGTAAGTCTCCAATTACCTAAAATAAAATGTCTAATTTTTTAAATAGGCATGAGCTTTAAGAGATATTTTTGCTGTAAGGAGCATGTGCTTGCCAGAGAGACAGAGAGGGACAGAGAGAAAGCAAGAAATCAACCCCTCCGGGTGGGGGGGAGATGGCCACGCTGCAATCCCTTCTCTTCCATTCTCTGCTCAGGATCTTGGGCATACATGTGTATGTACCCTGTTTGAGTTATAAGCCGCCGGGTCCAAGACTTGAACCACGTTCGACTACATGGGAGTCCAGCAACGTAACCATTATGCCATCTGCTGGTCACAGGCATGGACTTTTTAAAAAGTTTATTTTATCCATGAGTAAAAGATACAGTCAGAAGGAGGGAGAGAGAGAGAAATGGGAAGAGAGAGAGGGAATTTTTTTTAGAGGGGGGAGAGAGAGGGGAGAGAGAGGGGGGAAGAGAGAGGGGGAGAGAGAGAGCCCTCATCACCAACAAGGTCTTGACCCTGCGAGGCACTCCTGTCTCAGCCAGCCCTCAATCACAGACACACACATGCTTGGCATACTTGGGGTGGTCTCCAGACATGAACCCCGAACCTTCCCACGGGGGTCAGGTTGCAGCTTCAGTCCCTGAAACTTTTTTTTATTAGTATGAGAAAGAGGAGAGGGATTAGAGGAGGAGGAGGAAGAAGAAAGGTGAGAAAGGGAGAGCCTTGGGATTTTTAAGGTTTTGACCACAGAGTATGTGTGCTCATGGGAGAGAGACAAAATGAGAAATCACCCCCACACTGCAATCCCCTCTCCATTCTCCTCTAGGGACTCTGAGCTGGCACGCACACGTGCCCTGCATGATCCTCAGGCCTCTGGGTCCCAGACTCAAACCAAAGGCAGCTGTTTGGGAGTTCGGCACCTTCAACATCACGCCAGCTGCAGCCCCTAGAGAAAACTATTTTCGACAGGGTCTCACAGTGGGGATTCGTTGTCCTGGCCCCCCCAGATCGCTAGGATTACAGGTATGCACACACCCACAGCCAGAACGTGTTCATCTGGGATCTCAACCCAGAGCCCCCCGTATGGCACCAGTTTCACACAGGAGTTCCCCCCCCAACCCTCACCCCCGCAGCTGAGGGGCTGGAACATTTTAACTAACAGTACCTCTCACTTCTGTATTTAAACACGGCATGGCTTAAAGATCTCGTTATGGTCAGTGGCAGAAAGAGCTTGGAAGGGGACGTTTGCGGACTATGGAAACGGTCGGTGACATCCTGTCAGACATGTCCAGTCTGTTTAGGGTTAAAGAGAGGCAGCCAGTCCGCAAGTGCTGGGAGAGCCACTTGCCAGTCCCCCTCCACTTTGGCGAGAGTTCACTGCCACTGTCCCTGGAGGCTGGGAGTGGAACAGCCTGGTCTGGGAGACGCCCACCCGTGGTGCGCGCAGGCGGGGAAATCTGTTTCCTTCAGGCAGCCCCAGGGCCCGCAGACCTCAGCCCCACCGGCTGGTTCCTTGTCCACCCAAGTGCTGGCCACTGAGTCCTTCTGCTCCCAGCCTCTCGCCCCGGTCTCTGACAGTGTCCCCAGGGACTGGGGACCAAGGAGAGCTACTTAGGGTTTGCAATGTCGTTAAGCAGATCATTTAGAATCTTATTTTAAATAAAAATAAAACATTAGACTCACACACCCACACAAAGGACTTACACAGTGTCTCTTCAGACCCTCTCCCCCCCACTTCTTTGCACCCTACATTTTCCAGTTCCAAATAACCAGGCCACACTGAGTTTCAAGTTGATGTTTCTTCTTTTCCTACTCTATCGAAGAGGGTGAAAATCATATTACAAAGAATCATAGGAAGAGGCGGGATTTCAGTCTCCCCAGGACCTGAGACTTAAATCACGCCCCTGTCTGTCTTTCTCTAGCCCCTCCCACAGCCTTCTATCTTTCTTCCTTTCTTAAAACGGCCAGTAGAGACGCTGGGCATGGGGCAGGGGATGGGGTGCAGGTTGGACAGAAAGGTGCTGGGGTCAAGGCTCCTAGCCGGTGACGTTCTGCCTCATCTCACACACCCAGCGGTGCACCTGGCGACAGAAGTTGTCATTCCAGCGGCCACCGGGCCCGACCTCCACACAGTCTTCACTTCCACCCAACTCGTGTCCGTGCCAGTTGTCTGGTTGAGTGACAGCCCAGTTCCTAAGAAAGCAGGACAAAGCTCAAGCTGACACATCCCCACCCCAGCAACCCTCACCTCCGCCCCAGAAAAGCACAGCCTTGGCAGGGTGCCGGGGCAGGAGGTGTAGCCTTGGAGGTGGGGAGTTTGGGCCTGAAGGACTTGTGGGAGTGGAGTGGGCCAGAAGTCTAGGGGGCTGGCTGTGGCCGGGGCGAACTAACCAGACGGAGGGAGGCCACTTACTTGTAGTTGTGCTCATAGTCTGTACCATCCACCCATTTCCAGGAGCCATCGCTGTCGGTGAGACCTATCCAGGCATGAAAGGGGTTCGTGTGTTGTGCAATGAACGTCTGAAAAAGCAGGGAGGAGAGGGGCCAGCAGGTGGCATAATGGTTAAGGTACTGGACTCACACGTTTGATTGCAATTTGAGTCCTGGACTTAATGGCTTGAAACTCACACCAGACACATGTGCATGCATGCTCAAAACCCCAAGAAGAAAATGGAGAAGGGATTGCGGCATGGCCATCCCCCCTCTACCCGGGGGTGATTTCTACTTTCTGCCTCTGTCTCTCTGTCTCTCTGGAGAGCACACGTGCCCTATGGCAAAATTCTCTCGCAAAAAAAGAAATAAAAATAACAAACTCAACAGGCAGGAGGAAAGTTTCTGTCCTGAGTCCTTTCAGCCTCCGTCCATGCTGGCATTGAGCTATGGCCCCCTCAAGTCTTCACCAGCCTGGTCTGCCCCTGGCTGAGGTATCCGCTCTCAACCCCGGGTCCTTGCTTTTTCTTTTGTAATCATAGCTATATTTTGTTTGTTTGTTACTATAGGGTGCTTAAGCTCACTGGAGAGAGAGAAAGTGAAAAATTACCCCCAGGGGGGTTGGCCATGCCACAATTCCTTCTCCTCTCAAGATTGTGGGCACACACACACATACAAGCATCCAGAGTGTTTTCAAGCTGCCAAGTCCGGACCTCAAACCAACTTGGGATCCAGTCACTTGAACTTCCACACCACCTGCTGGCCCCCATGGCTAGTTTTTAGTAAACATTTACTGGGTGAGGCTTTGTGCTAAGTTTTTTTTTAAGAACTATCATATCTCAGGGGCTGGCAGGTGGCATGGTGGTTAAGGCGCTGGACTCCCACATGACGGATCATGGTTCGAATCCCGACCCTAATGGCTTGCTTTCTCATTCTCCCTTTCTCTCTGGTCAAATTGAACAATAAATAAATAAAGTTAAATAAATAATTCCTTTTAAAAAAGAACTATTGGGGCCGGCAGGTGGTGTGGTGGTTAAGGGCGCGGGACTCCCACATGGCCGACCGTGGTTTGAGTCTCGTACCTGGTAGCTTGCTTGCTTTCTCACTTTCTCTCTCACTCTGTTCCTCTCTGGTCAAATTAAAATAAATAAGGTTAAATAAATCTTAAAAAAAATAAAGAACTATTATATCTCATTAGTCCTCAGAAGCCCTCTCAGTTGGCACCACAGCAGTTTGCACTTTGCAAGGCGATTGGCAGAGTCCAACAGCTGAGTTTGTGACCACTGCCCTCTGGTCACGGCCCTGACCCAACCTCCCGCTCCATTCTCAACATGGCTGCTTCCCCAACTCTGGCCCTCTCCTTGTTTCCTGCCCACGGCCTCAGACTCTTAGAATCACCCTGGCCACTACTCCAGCTGCTGCTATAGACCCAGACTCATCAGGGTCTATTCCATTCACCTCTCCAGTACTCTGTCCCTGGTCGCCCTCTGTGTGCAGCTGGCATTCCCTGAGCTTAGCCAGGCCCTGGAGCTTCCAAGCTTGGACAACTGCCCAGACCCCCATTCTGACCTGGTTCCATGGGATCTGGCTGGCCGAAAATGGAAGGATTCCCTGGGTGTGAGGGGGCCACCCACTCAGCCAGCTGGCAGGGGTCTGGGTCAAAGTGGTCTCTGAGTCTGCAGATCGCTCCGCGGGACTCACACACACCCCCTAGAATGACTGCTAGCCACGTGGCGTTCTTTCACAGACATGGCCGTTCCTGGGGATGAACGTCCTATACTTTGGTAGGATAGCAAGGAAAGGTGTGGTCCATTGATTTGTGGAGGTAGCCAAGGGACCGACTGGTCAAACGGCACACCTAACAATTCCTTTGGACATCATCCAAAGGGTCCCCAACCATATTTGGAGGAAAAGGGTCTAATTCCACTCACACTCCCTACAGACAGAACTAAGGCTGCAGTTAGTCGCCTCGTCTGAGGAGAGGGTCGCTGACTCTAGCCCTCCTAATTCTAGAATCCTGCAAAGAGGACAAGAAGAGGCAGCCCTTGGAGGCTAATGAGATTGCTCCCCAAAGTCAGAGAACTCAGCCGAGTGGGAGAGGAAGTGCCTGGAGAGACTCTTTTTGCTGCTACCTGGTGCCCAGCAGCTTCTCCCCATCCCCACAGAAACTGAGCAACTGAATGAAGAGCATGGAGCGTCAATATCCGAACCCTCAGTGTTAGAGACTCAGAGAAGAGTCACAAGTACCAAATGGGGCCAGCCCATGGCATGGTTAAGGAAGCCAGATCCACACAGCCGTCTGAGCGGGCATGACCATTCCCCTTGGGGGCACTTTCTCGCTCTCTGTGTGTGTGTGTGTGCGTGTGTGTGTGTGTGTGCGTGTGTGTGTGTGTGTGCGGGGCACTTTCTCGCTCTCTGTGTGTGTGTGTGTGCGTGTGTGTGTGTGTGTGCGTGTGTGTGTGTGTCTTCAGTGAGTGCATGCACCCTCTGGCAAATTAAAAAGAAGAAAAGAAGGGGCTGGCAGGTGATGTGGTACTGGCACTGGACTCCCACACGGCCAACTGCAGTTCAAGTCCCGGGTCTAGAAGCTTGTTTTCTCACTTTCCCTGTCTCTCTCTCTGTCTCTCTCTGGTCAGATTAAGAAAATAAATAATCACAACAAATATAATTAAATAAGTAAATAATTCTAAAAAAAATAAAAATGCTTAAACATATAGGACCAGCCTCACATTCTAGTGGTTAATGGAGCTGGATCCCACATAGCCAACCATGGTTCAAAGCTTGGCCCCAGTGACTTGAAATATACACCAGGCACATGTGTGTGCAGGCTCAAAATCCTAACAGGTTAGAAAAACGGAGAAGGAATCGTGGCCATGTACCACTGGCAGGGTGGGGGAGGGGTGCCTTCTCTTTGTCTCTGTTTCCTCTCTTTGTTGAGTGGATGTGTCCTCTGGCAATTAAAACATAATTAAACATGTATTTTAAAATAATTGTGAGGGCCATCTTTCACTTTCTCTTTCTCTCTCTGTCTCTCTCTGTCCGTTGTGTCCCTCTCTGGTCAAATTAAAATGAGTAAATAAATAAAGTTAAATAAAATAATCTTAAAAAAAAAATGGGCCCAGCAGGTGACATGGTGGTTAAGGGTGCTAGACTCCCACACGGCCGACCATGATATGAGTCCTGGAGCTGGCGGCTTGCTCTCTCACTTTCTCTCTCTCTCTCATTGTGTCTCTCTCTGGTCACATTAAAATGAGTAAATAAATAAAGTTAAATAAAATAATCGTTAAAAACTAAATAAAAGTAAACGTGAGGACCAGCCAGTGGTGTGGTGGTTACGGTGGCAGGGGCCCACATAGGTAGGTGTACAGGTTGAGGCCCCCTGCGGCCTGAAAATCACACCAGGCATGTTTGCATGCATGCCCAAAGTCCCAAGAGGAAACTAGAAGAGAAGGGATTGCAACATGTCCATCCCCCTGGAAGGTGATTTCTCATTCTCTCTCTCTCTCTCTTTCTGGTAAGTACACGCACCCTGTGGCAAAAACAATTTTTTTCAAAGTGCCTTAGAGCCGCTGACAAATGGGGTGAGAAATGGCAGTCTTTATTTTTTTAAAAAAAAATTTTTTTTGAGAGGTCTTCGCTATAGGGCGCGTGCGCCCGCCAGACAGAGAGAGAGACAGAGAGACAGAAAGCAAGAAATCACCCCCCAGGGTGGAGGGCCACACTGCAATTCCTTCTCCTCCATTCTCCTCTCGGGATCTTGGGCACGCACGCACACGCGCCCGGTGTGAGTTCTAAGCCACCGGGTCCGGGATGCGAACCGCAGTCGACTACGTGGGAATCCAGCGACATAGCCATTACACTAATTGCTGGTTCCCATTTAAAAAAATATTATTTTTTAAGTTTATTTATTTATTTCAATTTGACCAGAGAGGGACAGTGACAGTAAGTGAGAAGGCACTCCCTTCCCACGGGATAGCCATGCCACAATCCCTTCTCCATAAGCACTCCCTTCCCAGGGGATAGCCATGCCACAATCCCTTCTCCATTCTCTCTGGAGATTTTGGGCATGCATGTGCATGCACTGGGCATGTTTTTTAAGTCTCTGAGTCCACGACTTGAACCATGAGTTGGCTATGTAGGATCCAGCCACCTTAACCACATGCCTCCTGCTGGCCTAACCCAAGATTATTTCATTTGGAATTTTTGAGGATAAGATCCAGGGGTGAATATTTTTGAACATTTCAAGAGATTACAACATATAGCCAAGGCCGAGAATCACTAACTTAAAACATAAAGCCTTAAAAAGATTAGAAATGGTAGAGACACACCAAACAAAGAAATCAAGAACCACAGAATTTTTGTATCAGATGATGAATTCAGGGGTTAAGTGGTAGAGTAGCAGGAATACAACTGCACTGACGTGGGAAGGTCCTGGGTTCATGTCCTAGGACCTCTCTGTGCAGGCCAGGCAAGCATACACATGTCCGTGATCTGGGTTGTAGGATGGGTCATGGTGTGAAGACCCTGCCCCTCTCTCTCTCTCTCTCTCTGAGAAATAAACAAGATAAAATAAACTAAAAAAAAAAAAAGATAAATTTAGGTAAGCAGGTAGAGTGCTGGTTAAGACACTGGACTGCCACATGGTCAGTTGCAGTTTAAGTCTCAGACATGGCAGCTTGCTTTCTCACTTCTTCTCTCTCTCTGGTGAGCACACATGCACTATAGCAAATTAAAAATAATAACACTAGAGTAAAATAAATTATAATCTTAAAAAAAAAGGTAAAGTCAGGACCGGCAAGTGGCGTGGTGGTTAAGGCTGCTGGAATCCCACATGGCTGACCATGGTTCGAGTGCCAGACCTGGCAGCCTGCTTTCTTTCCTTCTCTCTGTCTCTCTCTGGCCAACGTCAAAATAATAAAATAAAATAATGGCAATGAATAAAATGAAATAAAATCATTCCTTAAAAAAATAATAAAGACAAAAAGCATGAACTAGAACACTGATATTCGCTGTATAATGATAAAGGCACATTCGCCATGAGGTTGTGGCCATAATGAACGTACGTGCTGCGTTGCAGAGCACTGGCATCTTAGGTTGAAGGCGTGAACTGGCATTTTTGTAGGCCAAAAGTATTGGCAATATTCAAATGATTGGTAAAGCAAAATGTGTCTGTAATCACTCCAGCATGTAAATACTTGGAGAGCAGACGCTCAATAAATATATTCTGACCCCTGTACCACGTGGCTTGCAGACAGTGGCATTAGAATACGTTCAGAAAATTCAGAGAGGATACAGCCCCCACAGACCCCTGGGTACCAAGGCAGCCCATCACAGGTAAAAGCACTGGCTGAGGAGGCCCAGGGGAACTGAATTCCCGCACCATCGGGACTTACTCGCTGCGTGTCAAGTTACTTAAACTCCCTGTTCCGCCCTGGAAGCGGGAGCAGACAGCGCCTACTCCACATGGTTGTCAGGATTACAGACGTGAGCGTGTGGAATCACCCGGCACGCAGGGAGTTCTCAGTACATGCTGGCGTTACTACCCTCCTTTTCCGAGTCCATCCGAGCCGTTCTGATGGGCCGGTTCTCCATGAACCTTGGCGTTCGGAGTTGCCTGGTGGCAGCACTGGGCAGGAGAGACGCCCAGGGTCTCGCAGGAGCTCGTCACCCATGACAGGGAGTCCCTGGAGTCATGCCCGCTCTGCTCTTCCACCTGAGTGACCACCACATCCGAAGACCAGCACGGCAAGCTCAGAGTCCACCCCACCGCTGTGGCTCCACTCGTGGCCTGGCCCTGGATGCCACCCGTCTCCTCGTCACCTGGCCACAATCTCCTGCTTCTTAGAATCATGGCAGCTCCACTGCGAACCCTGAGCTCTACCACACTCTGCTTCTAGACCCTAACTCGGGTTAAAAGGATAAAGGCAGGCTGGCCAGCCTCCCGGAGCGGCGGGACCATGGTTCGAGTGCCAGACCTGGCAGCCTGCTTTCTTTCCTTCTCTCTGTCTCTCTCTGGCCAACGTCAAAATAATAAAATAAAATAATGGCAATGAATAAAATGAAATAAAATCATTCCTTAAAAAAATAATAAAGACAAAAAGCATGAACTAGAACACTGATATTCGCTGTATAATGATAAAGGCACATTCGCCATGAGGTTGTGGCCATAATGAACGTACGTGCTGCGTTGCAGAGCACTGGCATCTTAGGTTGAAGGCGTGAACTGGCATTTTTGTAGGCCAAAAGTATTGGCAATATTCAAATGATTGGTAAAGCAAAATGTGTCTGTAATCACTCCAGCATGTAAATACTTGGAGAGCAGACGCTCAATAAATATATTCTGACCCCTGTACCACGTGGCTTGCAGACAGTGGCATTAGAATACGTTCAGAAAATTCAGAGAGGATACAGCCCCCACAGACCCCTGGGTACCAAGGCAGCCCATCACAGGTAAAAGCACTGGCTGAGGAGGCCCAGGGGAACTGAATTCCCGCACCATCGGGACTTACTCGCTGCGTGTCAAGTTACTTAAACTCCCTGTTCCGCCCTGGAAGCGGGAGCAGACAGCGCCTACTCCACATGGTTGTCAGGATTACAGACGTGAGCGTGTGGAATCACCCGGCACGCAGGGAGTTCTCAGTACATGCTGGCGTTACTACCCTCCTTTTCCGAGTCCATCCGAGCCGTTCTGATGGGCCGGTTCTCCATGAACCTTGGCGTTCGGAGTTGCCTGGTGGCAGCACTGGGCAGGAGAGACGCCCAGGGTCTCGCAGGAGCTCGTCACCCATGACAGGGAGTCCCTGGAGTCATGCCCGCTCTGCTCTTCCACCTGAGTGACCACCACATCCGAAGACCAGCACGGCAAGCTCAGAGTCCACCCCACCGCTGTGGCTCCACTCGTGGCCTGGCCCTGGATGCCACCCGTCTCCTCGTCACCTGGCCACAATCTCCTGCTTCTTAGAATCATGGCAGCTCCACTGCGAACCCTGAGCTCTACCACACTCTGCTTCTAGACCCTAACTCGGGTTAAAAGGATAAAGGCAGGCTGGCCAGCCTCCCGGAGCGCAGTGCTGCTCCCTTTGGAACCGCGGGCTCACCTGCTCCTCCCAGGAGCCGATGACCACCAGGTGCGAGTTCTCCAGCTGGCAGTACTTCTCCGCCTCCGACCAGGTCTTCCCTGTGCTCGAGAACCAGTAGCAGCTGCCCTCGTGCTCCAGCCAGTTAACGGGGCAGCACTCTGTGCCTGAGGGGAGGGGCGAGCGGCAGCAGGGGGTGGGCCTGGAGGGCACCGGCACAGGGGACCCGACACCCCCCATCCCTGCTGCCCCTACCATTGCTCTTGAAGAAGACCATCTGACAGGCCAGGACACGCAGATCCAATGGGAAGTGCTTCAGATGAAGGAGCAAGGTGCTGTGATCTGAGTGGGGCAGACATACTGACAGCCATGTGGACAGACATGTCGGCCCTCTCTGTCACGATAGGCGCAGGGCTGAGGAAGCGCACACCACGCCTCACACCACACCACATGCGCCACTAAACCCGCATGCACCATGCACACGCACGCACACGCACATGCACACGCACACGCACGCACACTCTGGGAGGGTCTCTGACCTGCTTTCAGGTCCTGCTGCTGTTTCTCCAGCTTGGCTTCTATAGATGTCATCTTGTCACCTACACTGCCCCCTGAAAGAGGGATGCTAAATTGTTGTCCCCTGTTCTGCCTCTGGAACATCCCTCCCTACCTCGATCCTGGGCCCCAGTCTCCCACCACCCCGTCCAGGACTGCTGCTGGCCGCCACCGGCTGGCCTTCCCGATTCCACCCAGGCTCCTTGCACGTTCCGGGCCCTTTCCTATCTGCATCCTCTCGTGGATTCCCCTTTTCTCAAAATAAAGCTTCGCTTGGTCAGCATGGCCTGTCTGCAGGCCCTGGCCCCTCCCACCTCTCTGGCCACCTCTCTGGCCACCCCTTGCCACCTGCCCCACAATTTAACTCCCAACACACTGGGACTGCTCACAGTCTCAAAATGGGCAACGGTCTCCCCACCTCCTGGCCAGCGCAAAGTCAGGTCTCTGCCTGGCACTGCCCTCCTCCTCTTCAGCCACCTAGCCCCTATCTGTCCTTCAGGCCCCTCAACTCAGGGGCCTGCATTTCTGGAAAACTTAGCCCGCATCGCCAGCTAGGTTACTGGGCGTCCGTGCCCCCAGAGCCCCCAAATTACCCCTCTCGCAGACGCAGCACAAGCCTGGCAACTCCATGCAGATGAACAAGCATCCGACCACCCCGCCCCACTCACCATGGGCGTCCAGAGCCCGGAACTCCGCCAGGGTGCTGGAGGAGAAATTGCTGAAAGTTTCTTTCAGGGTCCGCAGCTCTGCCTGCAGCTGTGCACCTTGTTAGGAGACAGTGGGGACAGGACAAGGTGGAGGGGCTGTGTTCCTATACCTGTCTGGGTGACTGTCCCCCTCAGCACCCCAACACAGCCATCATCTGTCCCGCCATTTCCCCATCCTTGCCTCCCACTGCTCCCAGCGCGTGCTCACCTCTCCCCCATCACGGCATAGCCATTGCCCGTAGCTACTCCCTGGTCCTTGCCCCACCCCTGCCAGCCCCTGTGAGCCTCACTTTGGAACCCAATCACACAGACCGCCACCAGCAGCAGGACGTTGAAGGCCAGGGCAAGCAGACTGAGGCGGAGACTGGAGCAGAGGCGCTGCCCAAGGGTCTGGGGAGGAGGCAGCCCTGTGAGAGAGGGCGTGTCAGGAGCTGGGCGCCCAGGGGACCAGAGCTGGGACCACCAAGGACTGTGGTGTGGCAAGACCCTGTTGAGGGTCTCACTCTTTCTCTCTCAAGAAATAAATAAAAGGATCACAAGGCATACAGAGAAGCAGGAAATCACAACCCATAATGAAGAGGTTAATGAATCCGTCACAACAGATCCAGACCAACCCCGATGTCTGGATCAAGATCTCTCTTGCCTAAAACCTTTGCCCAGGTACTTGGGGGCTGGCATCAAGATTTACTAGAGAAGGATCCAGCAGGTGGCCTGAGGGGAACAGGAATCTTCCAGAGTCTCCCTCCCACACACAGTCCCAGCTGGGTCTTCATTCCTTGCATGCACGCCCGTATGTCCACACGGGCATGTACACGCACAGCACACATGTTGCTTGTGTTGGGAAGAGGAGGGAAGGAAACCCCCTCCGACTTCCAGTCACCCCACACCTCTGGGCACACACCTCTTCCACAGCCCTAGGGGTGGAGAGGAAAGTGAGGTCAGGGGGCGAGCAAAGGTGTCAGCACCTCACACTTCAAGGGCCTCCGTCCTTGTTGGCAGAGTGAATGGGACAAAGACCTCAGAAAGACAGAGCCATTGGCGGCTGGACAGAGGTGGAATGAAGAAACTGGACACTTACCTTTCCAAAATGGATCTTCTCTCCTGGGGTTCTGCCCTCGAGAGCCTGACCCCTCACCTCCGAGCTGATGGTCGCTATCCTCAGAGTCCAGCTGCTGGAGGTCTTGAAACTCCTTTGCCATGACTGTCCAAGACTGGATCTAGACCTGGGGCTGGGTTGGGGCTGCCCTTCGGGCTGGGGCTCAGGTGCGCGTTGGTGCAGAGGCTGGTGGTGGGACTGACTGTTGGGCCTGAGTGGCTCAAGGTGATGGCTTGGGTGGGGTCTGAGGTTGGAGATAAGTTTGGGGCTAAGGTTTGAGATACCGCTGAGTCCTGTCTTTACTCAGGAGATGGCCTGGGCCTAACATGGCCATCAGCCTTCCCTCCACACTCTCCAGGACCAAACTACCCACAGCATTTCCAGACCCTGTCCAGGGTCTCCTTAACCCCAAACATCCCAGTCCCACCTGCCTCCCGAACCTGAGTTACCTGTAAAAAGTATGAAGAGTCGACTCCTGGCTCCTACAGGCAGCCCAGGCCCCCAGGGGAAAGGAGGGGCTAAAGACAGAAAACGGGGGTTGGTGGGGGAGCAAGTGGTGCTAGAGAGGAGTGGAGAAAAGGGGGCTGTTCTAGGTGAGCCCCTAAACCCTGCGGGTCTGTGTCCAAGTGATCCTAACCTGGATTCTCCTGCCCCTGGGACTTTGGACAGTAAACAGAAGTGGAAACAGAGCTGGAACTCGGACATGAGTCGTGGGTGCAGGAAACACAATCAACTCTTTTCTCATCAGAGAAGGGGGTCTCCTGGTCTGACCCCCTCACCCCACATGGCTGTCACCTCACCCCTCATTGCACCATTTGCGGGGGAGCGAGGTCTGGGTGACAGCAGGTGCAGTTTGAAGTGTCCCCCTGTCCCTTCCCCCTTTCCCTTCCTGACTGAAATTTCCGGAATTGTCTCTAAACATCCCTGACCAGGATCAGAGGCTCCGGTCTTCTGCTCTTGCCCAATCTGCCTCTGAGCTGCAGGCCCAGCTCCCTGTGGGCCCAGCCCTGACTCACTTCTTTTTCCTGGGGAGAAAAGTCCCTTAAGACCCAGAAGCTGCAGAGGGAAGGGGAAAGAGCTCTCCCTGCTGTGGGGATGACTGGACTTCCACAAGCCCCTTCCACACAAGCCCGTGTCCTCGAGCCCAGCCTCTGTCCTCAGTGGCCTGCAGGTGCTTCTCATTGAACACCTCCCCGGGTGGACACCTTAGGTAGTCCCTTCTCACGGGGAGGACGTGGAGCCTCGGGGAGACTGAGAGATTTGCTCCAGGTGGAGTAGCAGGATAGCGAAATGGCTCAGCAGATTTCAGCCCTCGGCATCCAGTCTTCCTCACAGATCAGAGCAAGACCTTTCCCTTACTTTATCCTCTCTCCATCCGCTCTGTTTCCTCACACCGATGTCTCTGGTCTCCACCGGCAGCCAACACGGTGTGAATGCTCCGTGTGATGGTGTCCAAAGATGACTGCCATTTCTCCTCTCACCCCATTTACAAGACACACCCATCCAGAGGTAGGGTCTATGCCACCGCCCCTTGAATCTGGATGACTGTGACTCGCATTGACCAAGAGAAAGGGCTAGAAGTGACACTCCGCCAGCTCCACACCTAGGCCTCAAAAGACCTGGCAGTTTCCATTTTCGATCTTGGAATCCAGGCACCATGCCATGAGGAAGTCTAGCTATCGTGCTAGAGAGAGAGCCCTTATGAAGGGTCCCTGGGAGCTAAGGCACCCTATGGGGAGAGAGGCCACACGGGGGCATACTGAGTCCCAGACATGTGAACAAAGCCTTCTGGGAGTGTCCAGCCGAGCCTGGTCACTGGCTGAAGACATCCAAGTGTTTGACCCTGGCCTAGAACATGTGGACGGCTCAGCGAAGCCCTGCCCAGGTTTCTCACTCAAGAAGTAATAAATAGTTGTTTAAACCACGGGGCTTTGGGGTGGTTTCCTGTGTATCAGTAGGTAACTGAAATAAAATATGCTCTTAAATATGTATGTACCAGGCCAGCCAGGTGGCTGGGGTGACTGGATCCCACACATCTGATGGCACAGTTAAGTCCCAGACCCAGAGGCTTGAAAATCACACTGGGTGTAATATAAACAAGATTATGATAATAATAAATTAAAAAAAAATTACACTGGGCAAAATCCAGAAAAGAGAATGGAAGAGAAAAAATTGCAACATGGCCATCCCTCCCGGGGGGAGGGGATGTTTTCTTATCTCCCACCCCACCTCTGTCTCCAGCAAAAGCACGTGCCCTTGAGCAAATTAAAAAAAAAAAAAATTAAAAATAATTTTTTAAAAAGTGTAGCTGCTCTAGACTATTGTATTGCCAATAACAGAAATACCCAGGTCTAGGGTTTGTTTGTTTGTTTGTTTGTTTGTTTATAGAGAGAGTTTTGGTCTAGGGCTCATACACACACCAGAAAGAGAGACAGAAAGCAAGAAATCGCCCCCCAAGAGGGATGGCCATGCCACAATCCCTTCGCCTCCATTCTCCTCTAGGGATTTCAGGCACACATGTACATGCACATGCACCCAGCATGAGTTTTAAGCTGCCAGGTCCAGGACTCAACCACAGTCGACTACATGGAAGTCCAACAACATAACCATTACACTATCTGCTGGTCCTGAGGAGACCAGCAGGTGGCGTGGTGGTTAAGGTGCAGGACTCCAACACTGTTGACCACGGTTCAAGTCCTGGATTTGGCAGCTTGAAAATCAAGCTGGGCATATGTACATGGGTGTCCAAAATCCCAAGAGAAGAAAAGAGGAAAAGGTATAAATGAATGGATAGATAAAATTAAATAATTCTTAAAAAGGAAAAGAAAAAAAAGAACTTTATTTAAAAAATTAAAATATAGGGGGCCAGCAGATGGCATGGTGGTTAAGGTGCTGGACACTCCCACATAGTGTCTGGTCAAATTAAAATAAATGAACGAATAAATAAAATTAAATTTTAAAAATTATTTTTTTAATATTTAACTTTATTATTATTATCATTATTATTTTCCAGTTTGATCAGAGAGACACAGAGAGAGAAAGAGGAAGTGAGAAAGCAAGCCACCACGTCTGAGACTTGAACCATGGTTGGCCATGTGGGAGTCCAACGCCTTTAACCACCATGCCACTTGCTGGCCCCAAATTTTAAAAATTCTTTAAAAAAAATAAAAAATATAAATGTTCAAAACAGAGTTTTACTTAGCTCACAGTTTTGGAGGGCCAAGGTCAGGGAGGCCAAATCTAGTAAAGGTCTTCTTCTTCTAGGAGACTTCCTGCAAAGGCCCTGGGTGGTGCGAGACATCGCTCAGTAAGACAGCGAGGGTGAGTGTGTGTCCCTGTGTCTGTCTCTTTATAAACCCATGAGTGTACAGTCATGGGGCCCTGCCCTCATGCCTCATCACTTCCCAAGAGCCCCACCCTTCATCACCATAATTGGATTAAGTCTTCACCTCCCAGCACCATTACAATGGCTCGGCAGACTTCAGTACATAAATTCTGGGGAGACTCATTCAAACCATAGCAGTACCTTATAAAATATGTAGTATTTAAGGACCAGCAGTTGGTGTAATGGTTATGTTGCTGGACTCCCACATAGTCGACTGTGGTTTGAGTCCTGAACCCGTTGGCTTAAAACTCACACTGGGCATATGTGTGCATGCGTGCCCAAAATCCTGAGAGGAGAATGGAGGAGAAGGGATTGTGGTGTGACCATCCCCCCCGGGGTAGGGGGGGAGGGTTGATTTCTCATTTTCTGTTTCTCTGTCTCTTCTCTCTGGAGAGCGCACGCACCCTATAGCAAAAATCTCTCTAAAAAAATTAAATAAATAAAAGTAAATATGTGGTATTTGTCTAGAAAAATACGTCATGACTTTTCCAACTACCCAATGGTCTACATGTCTGTTTTTCATATCCACAATGTATGTACATGTGTGCAGATTTATATCCATAACTTCTCGCCCAACAAAATATTTTTAAGATCGAAACTTGCTACTATTTGTACATCTTGTTTGTTGCTGTGAACTGCTACAGAGTATTCAATGGTGTGTATCCTTCATAGTGTATTCCCGAATAATGAACACCTAAGTACCACAATTAACACTGTGATTAATGTTCTGATCATGTTCCTGGTGAGAATGCTCCTAGGTGAGAATTTCTCTTGAAACTGTATCCAAGAATGAAATAGCTAGCTCACAGAGTATTCTATAGTTAACTTCACTAAGTACTGTCAGACTGTTCCAGAATGTCTATTCTGGCTGCTATTCCCACCAGCAATATAAAAAGGTTCCCTTTCTTTGTGTCATCAAATTTTCAATAATTTTCATTATCCAAATCCCAATTGTTGTCAGTCTGATGACATCTCATCATTATTTTTTTCTTTTTCTTTTTCTTTTTTTTTTTTTTTAGGTTTTGCCATAGGTCACATGCACGCGCCAGAGAGATAAAAAGAGAGGGATAAAATAAGAAATCACCTTCCCGGGGGATGACCCCCATGCCACAATCCCTTCTCCTACATTCTCCTTTCAAGATTTTGGGCACAAATACCTGGCATGATTTCCAAGCTGCTGAATCCGGGACTCAAACCGTAGTCTGCCATGTGGGAATCCATTGCCTTAACCGCCACACCACCTGCTGACTCCTCTCATTGTCCTTTTCGTTTGCATTTCTGGCTACTATGAGGAGACTTCAAAAAGTTTATAGAAAAATGGAATTCAAGTATGAGTTTATTTTGGTGCAAAAAATTTTGAAATCCATGCATGTTTGGGGGTTTTTTAGGAGTTATTTCATTGTTTTGTTTTTTGTTTTTTGTTTTTTAACTTGCTATAGGTCACATGTGCTCAACAGAGAGAGAGAGGGAGGGAAAGTGAGAAAGCAAGCCGCCAGGTCCAGGACTCAAACTGCAGTCAGCCATGTGGGAGTCTAGTGCCTTAACCACCACACCACCTGCTGGCCCCATGGTTCTCTTATGATGCTCATTTTTTGTTAATTTTTTGAAGACCCTGCACAGTAGGTTTGACCATTTCTTCAGCTGTATGTTAATCATTTGGGTTTCTCCTTGTGTGAGGTGCCTTTGCATATCCGTTACCCATTTTTCTGCTGAGTTTCCTGAATTCACTTTACTGATTAGCCAGAATTCCTTGTATAGTCTAGAGGTTTGTTCAGAAAACAAGACCTTATAACAATATATATAATTACTATTATTATTATTATTATTATTATTATTAT